TGCAATTAAATGTATTTAAGTATATGCTATGTGTGTGAAAGCATGTATATATTTTTCTGGTTCTGTAAGTTTGCGTGTCAATGCATGTGTGCATAAATGTTTGTGTGTGAATGCATGTGAGTGTACGTACTGTATTTAGACATTTGTATGTGTTGCCTCTATCATGTTTTCTTGCACACCCACTTGTGTGATGTATATAGTCATCAGGGGTCAAGTCCTGGGGAAAAAAGTGTGGGAACTCACCCAAGATTCCCGCCACCCCCCTTAAAAAAGAAAAGAAAAGAAAATTACACTCCTATGCATATAGTGCCATGCAGGGTGTGTATAATGAATGTAGTGTTTGTAGTGAATGCAGAGTGTGTATAATGAATGTAGTGATTTTGTAGTGAGTGCAGAGTGTATATAAGGAATGTAGTGTTTGTAGTGAATGCAGAGTATGTATAATGAATGTAGTGTGTTTGTAGTGAATGCAGAGTATGTATAATGAATGTAGTGTTTTTGTAGTGAATGCAGAGTATGTATAATGAATGTAGTGTTTTTGTAGCGAGTGCAGAGTGTGTATAATGAATATAGTATGTTTGTAATGAGAGCAGTGTGTATAATAAATGTACTGTGTCTGTAGTGAGTGCAGAGTGTGTATAATGAATGTAGTGTGTTTGTAGTAAGTGCAGGTTGTGTATAATGAATGTAGTGTGTTTGTAGTGAATGCAGAGTATGTATAATGAATATAGTATGTTTGTAATGAGTGCAGTGTGTATAATAAATGTACTGTGTTTGTAGTGAGTGCAGAGTGTGTATAATGAATGTAGTGTGTTTGTAATGAGTGCAGTGTGTATAATAAATGTACTGTGTTTGTAGTGAGTGCAGAGTGTGTATAATGAATGTAGTGTGTTTGTAGTAAGTGCAGAGTGTGTATAATGAATATAGTATGTTTGTAATGAGTGCAGTGTGTATAATAAATGTACTGTTTTCGTAGTGAGTGCAGAGTGTATATAATGAATGTAGTGTTTGTAGTGAGTGCAAAGTGTGTATAATGAATATAGTATGTTTGTAATGAGTGCAGTGTGTATAATAAATGTACTGTGTTTGTAGTGAGTGCAGAGTGTGTATAATGAATGTAGTGTGTTTGTAGTAAGTGCAGAGTGTGTATAATGAATATAGTATGTTTGTAATGAGTGCAGTGTGTATAATAAATGTACTGTTTTCGTAGTGAGTGCAGAGTGTATATAATGAATGTAGTGTTTGTAGTGAATGCAGAGTATGTATAATGAATGTAGTGTGTTTGTAGTGAATGCAGAGTATGTATAATGAATGTAGTGTTTTTGTAGTGAATGCAGAGTATGTATAATGAATGTAGTGTTTTTGTAGTGAGTGCAAAGTGTGTATAATGAATATAGTATGTTTGTAATGAGTGCAGTGTGTACATAAATGTACTGTGTTTGTAGTGAGTGCAGAGTGTGTATAATGAATGTAGTGTGTTTGTAGTAAGTGCAGGTTGTGTATAATGAATGTAGTGTGTTTGTAGTGAATGCAGAGTATGTATAATGAATGTAGTGTTTTTGTAGTGAGTGTAAAGTGTGTATAATGAATATAGTATGTTTGTAATGAGTGCAGTGTGTATAATAAATGTACTGTGTTTGTAGTGAGTGCAGAATGTGTATAATGAATGTAGTGTGTTTGTAGTGAATGCAGAGTATGTATAATGAATGTAGTGTGCTTGTAGTGAATGCAGAGTGTGTATAATGAATATAGTATATTTGTAATGAGTGCAGTGTGTATAATAAATGTACTGTTTTTGTAGTGAGTGCAGAGTGTATATAATGAATGCAGAGTATGTATAATGAATGTAGTGTTTTTGTAGTGAGTGCAGAGTGTGTATAATGAATATAATATGTTTGAAATGAGTGCAATGTGTATAATAAATATACTGTGTTTGTAGTGAGTGCAGGGTGTGTATTATGAATGTAGTGTGTTTGTTCTAAGTGCAGGGTGTGTATAATGAATGTAGTGTGTTTGTTCTAAGTGCAGGGTGTGTATAATGAATGTAGTGTGTTTGTAGTGAATGCAGACCGTGTATAATGAATGTAGTGTGTTTGTAGTGAATGCAGACCGTGTATAATGAATGTAGTGTGTTTGTAGTGAATGCAAAGTATGTATAATGAATGTAGTGTTTTTGTAGTGAGTGCAGAGTGTGTATAATGAATATAGTATGTTTGCAATGAGTGCAGTGTGTATAATAAATGTACTGTGTTTGTAGTGAGTGCAGAGTGTGTATAATAAATGTAGTGTGTTTGTAGTGAGTGCAGAGTGTGTATAATGAATAGTATGTGTTTGTAATGAGTGCAGTGTGTATAATAAATGTACTGTTTTTGTAGTGAGTGCAGAGTGTATATAATGAATGTAGTGTTTGTAGTGAATGCAGAGTATGTATAATGAATGTAGTGTGTTTGTAGTGAATGCAGAGTATGTATAATGAATGTAGTGTTTTTGTAGTGAATGCAGAGTATGTATAATGGTGAGTGCAAAGTGTGTATAATGAATATAGTATGTTTGTAATGAGTGCAGTGTGTACATAAATGTACTGTGTTTGTAGTGAGTGCAGAGTGTGTATAATGAATGTAGTGTGTTTGTAGTAAGTGCAGGTTGTGTATAATGAATGTAGTGTGTTTGTAGTGAATGCAGAGTATGTATAATGAATGTAGTGTTTTTGTAGTGAGTGCAAAGTGTGTATAATGAATATAGTATGTTTGTAATGAGTGCAGTGTGTATAATAAATGTACTGTGTTTGTAGTGAGTGCAGAGTGTGTATAATAAATGTAGTGTTTTTGTAGTGAGTGCAGAGTGTGTATAATGAATATAGTATGTTTGTAATGAGTGCAGTGTGTATAATAAATGTAGTGTTTTTGTAGTGAGTGCAGAGTGTGTATAATGAATATAGTATGTTTGTAATGAGTGCAGTGTGTATAATAAATGCACTATGTTTGTAGTGAGTGCAGAGTGTGTATAATGAATGTAGTGTGTTTGTAGTGAGTGCAGAGTGTGTATAATGAATGTAGTGTGTTTGTAGGGAGTGCAGAGTGTGTATAATGAATGTAGTGTGTTTGTAGTGAGTGCAGAGTTTATATAATGAATGTAATGTTTGTAGTGAATGCAGAGTGTGTATAATGAATGTAGTGTGTTTGTAGTGAGTGCAGAGTGTGTATAATGAATGTAGTGTGTTTGTAGTTAGTGCAGAGTGTGCATTGTGAATGTAGTGTATTTGTAGTGAGTCCAGAGTGTGTATAATGAATGCAGTGTGTGTAGTGAATGCAGAGTATGTATGATTAATGTTTTGTGTTTGTAGTGAGTGCAAAGTGTGCATTGTGAATGTAGTGTGTTTGTAGTGAGTGCAGTGTATATAATTAATGCAGTGTGTGTGCAATAATAAGTGCAGAGTGTGTATAATGAATGCAGTGTGTGTAGTGAGTGCAGTGCGTGTAGTGAGTGCAGAGTGTGTATAGTGAATGTAGTGTGTTTGTAGTGAGTGCAGATTGTGTATAATAAATGCATTGTGTTTGTAGTGAGTGCAGATTGTGTATAATGAATGTAGTGTGTGCAGTGTGTGTATAATGAAAGCAGTGTGTGTGTGCTAGATGATTGTGTGTGTGTGTGCTGGATGATTGTGTGTGTGTGCGTGTGTGCTGGATGATGTGTGTGTGTGCTGGATGATTGTGTGTGTGTGTGCTGGATGATGTGTGTGTGTAAAGGGGGAAGCATTATTTTTTATTTATGTGTATAATTTTTATTTTATTCCCCCCTCCCTGCTTCTTACCTTATCAGGGAGGGGGGAGATCGCCTGGTGGTCCGATGGTATGGAGCAGGGAGCCAGCCGCTGCACACAGGGGCCCAGCACTTTCTGTGTTCCCTCTCCAGCTCTGTCTAACTCTCGCGAGACTCGTCTGCGTGCTGTGCGGAGCGTTGCCATGGTAACTCGTGACAGCCGCGGGTCTCGCGAATGTGAGACAGAGCTGGAGATGGAACACAGAGTGTGCTGGGCCCCTGTGTGCAGGTAGCAGGGAAAGTCATGCCGAAATAATAGCGGGAACGGCGTTCCTGCTTTGGAAAAAGTGTAGGAACGCTGTTCCCATGCGTTCCTGCAGGACTCGAGCCCTAATATTCATGCATTTTTATAAAGATACTGAAACACATACTCTCAGGAGGGTGCCGCTGTCCCTAGATCTGTACCACTGTTTGCAATAAACATGTAAAAGATTAAAGAGACACTGTAGACACCAAAACAAGATTAGCTTATTGAAGCAGTATTTGTATATAGATCATGCCTCTGGAGTTTCTCTGCTCAATTCACTGCCATTTTGGAGTTAAATCGCTTTTGTTTCTCTTTATACAGCCCTAGTGAAATCTCTCCTGGCTGTGACTGACACAGCCTGCATGAAAACACAATTATTTAATTTCCAATCAGTTGTAACTTAATTTAAAAGTTTTTACCTCCTGTTCTGTAAATAGAACTTTAATTACATACAAGAGTCTCCTGTCGGGTCTAGCAAGCTATTAACTTAGCAGGCGATATGAAATTCTAAATTAAACAGAATTTGCAATAATGAGAGTGGAAAAATTTGATTTCTCTATAGAGGAAGTGTTTAGAAATGCTGTGCAAGTCACATGCAGGTAGGTGTGACTAGGGCTGTATTAGCAAAGTTATTTAACTCCTAAATGGCAAAGATTTGAGCATTGAGACTGCAGGAGCATGATCTATACACAGAAAGTGCTTCATTATGGGAAAGTTGTTTTGGTGACTATAGATTTTACTTATCTTTTTCAACTTCATCTGTACTGCTCACCTCTCTGGCCCCTGCAACGGCATGGGCTCTTCTGCAATGGTCTAAATCAATGCCCAAGATGGAAGAGCTTGGGACCTATTGTTCATTTGTGAGTAGTGATGTCCCGAACTGTTCGTCGTACGGACTCATCATTGAGTAAACTTTGACCCTGTACCTCACAGTCAGCAGACACATTCCAGCCAATCAGCAGCAGACCCTCCCTCCCTCCCAGATCCTCCCACCTCCTGGACAGCATCCATTGTGAAGCTGCATTCTTAGTGAGCTGTCCAGGAGGTGGGAGGGTCTGGGAGGGAGGGTCTGCTGCTGATTGGCTGGAATGTGTCTGCTGACTGTGAGGTACAGGGTCAAAGTTTACTCAATGATGAGTCCGCGGCGAACCGTTCGTGGCGAATAGTTCGGGACATCATTATTTGTGAGCAGTGGTGTATTTTGGATCTGTGCTGCCCTAGGCATGACGGAACTCAGGCTCCACTCATTTACATTTGCCCCACCCCTTCCTGTCAATGCCACACCTCTTCCTGTTACAGACTAACACACACTTTGACTGACAGACTCTCAGTTACACTGACATACACACACATTCATTTCACACAATCTGATTGACACACACAATCACTGACAGACACGCACACACACTCACTGACACACAATGACACACACACACTCACTGACACCCACCCACAGACACACAGGGCCGAAGGAATTTGGGGGCCCCAAGCAAAATGGACATGGAGCCCCCCCCGCACACATGCAAAGCCTACAGGAGCCACAGCATAGCCATACAGTTTAAGTTCACCCACACGGTAACTACATTACTTGCAACACACAGGAAGAAAATGGTGTCTAAAAAACCTGGAGTTATCTGTCTGTGACCTTGGGAGGAAAGCATCTAATCTTATTCAACAAAATGATTATTTCTGCACCAAGAAATAAAACCAAGCAGCCATACAACAAAGAGCTCACAAACCATGCATGTAGTCATCTGGACTACAGCTCTCATGGTTCCCACACTCCTGGGGAGGATGGACAAGCAGCATGATGCAGGACCAAACCTAACTGTATAATATTTAAAATATAATACCATAGGCATAGAGGGAAGAAGCTAACCCCCTTCTCCCCCAGCTGCAGAGAGCATACTAGGAGTGGAAGTGTAAACTATCAGTGTAGGGCAGTGCTGCCCTCTTACCATCAACTCCCCACTCATACCACCCTCACATCCTAAAATCTCCCTGTCCATCACCAGGACCAACTCCTGGCTCACAGGAAGGGATATATGCCTCCCGTCCCAATGGTGTACCGCATGTTGCTGTGACTCCTTCCAACCTCCAGTTGCCATGTGCGCTCCTGCCGCTGGTCCATGGAGGATCCTGCCAGAGGATGGTCCATGGTGGAGCCTGCCAGAGGATGAGGGCAGAGGATGAGGCTTGGAGGGGCTCTCACACCTGGATCCCTAAACCGCAGCTAGAGCCAAACATTTCCTCCATGGTAACTGCAGCAGACCACGGCTGGAGCTGCCCGGCCCGGCTGCGGGATGTCCCCATGAATGTCCCCCTAGTTATCTGTTTGTCCGGCCGGCTGGCATGGTGTAAGTGCCCGCAGTGTGGCGAGCTGCCCTGTTCTGGGGTTGGTGATGATGGCGGGAGGAGGAACTGCGGATGGTGCTGCTCGAGCTCTAAAGGATCCCTGTCTCCCTCTCTGCTCAGGCTGGGGGCGTGAATGCGTCCCAGCCAGGCTGCACCGTGCTGCTCTGTACTGTGGAGGGTGCTAGTGTAGTCCCGTGGCTCAGTCCACCATGCCTGGCGGGGAGAGGGAGCTCGGTAACACTGTGTGTGCTGGAGCTGGCTGCCGGGCTGTGTCCTAGCTCCCCCTGCTTTCCACATGCACACACCGCCGCCTGTGTCTGTACAGTGTTAGACTATGTTCTTAACCAGTGCTTGTCTTGGGGCCCCAGGCCAGCTCGGGGCCCAGAGCAATTGCTTGGTTTGCTTGCCTTGTCGCGACGGGCCTGCAGACACACACACTGACAGGCATAGACAATCACTTAGAAACACACACATTCACCGACAGACACACACGCTCCCTCAGACACACAGGCTCACTCACAGACACACTCACAGAAAGACACACACACACACACACAATCACTCAGACACACAGGCACCCTTACAGGAATACACTCACAGACACACACTGACAGACACTCACAATCACTCAGCCACAAACATATATTCACTGATAGACACACTCACAGACACACACACACACACACACACTCACACAGGCTCCCTCACACTGACAGGCATACACACACACTCTCACTCACAGACACAATCACTCAGACACACACTGACAGACATACACTCACTCACAGACACACACTGACAGACATAAACACATTCACTGACAGCCACACACACACTGACAAATATACACACACAGACACACTGACAGACTGACAGACATACACACACACTGACAGCCAGACACACACACACACACACACAAACATTTCCCCCCAACACTCACAGATTATTTATTTTAATTTAAATCCACCAAGCCTCCCTACCTGGGGTCCAGTGAGTTCCAGTCGGGTGGCGAGGGAGTGCTGATTTGTGAGCTCTCCCTGTTCAGCTCCCTCACGTGCCACAGAGTGATCCTGGGAGCCGGACCTGGATGTGGCGCCCACTGGAACACAGCTAGCTGCCTGCTCCGAGGCTAACAAGGTATTTAGGTGTGTTTTCTGCCGCCCCCTGGAAAGTGCCGCCCAAGGCAAATACCTTGTTTCCCTTGCGGCAAGTACATCGCTGACGGTGAGTATTCAGTGGGATTCATTGTATGCAATGCTTTATTATGGACTTCCATCTCATGTGACCGAATTTCTTAAAAATTGCAGTGTTTTACATTGCAAGGTTAAAAGAACAGGAACTCTGAACCCAGACCACTTCATTAAACTCGAAAACGTAACACTGAATTCCAAATGGCAACATTTAGCCAAATATAATATATATGATTTAGAAACATTATTTAACTCAGCTCTGGTACATCCTCACTATTTTTGTCTAGACGAGTCTTCCATTTGGAGTTCAATCCACTACAATTAAGAGTTTCACGAATAAACCTCTAAGGCTGACCATTGTATGACAATATTTCACTATTACAAAGTTGATATCAACATTCAAAAGACAGATATAATAATTGAAGACAATTCTGGTTACGTGGACTCTATGTCATTGGATTCTTTGTATTAATGGGAAGGTTCCATGCTTGGAGAGAAATATAGAAATTAATATGAATTCCGAGGTGGATTAATATCAAAAACATAATACATAAAAAGCACATTTTATTTAAATAAGCTGGGCCTAACAGCACAATCTACTGCAATGCACAGTAGGTAGATCCCCGGATGTTTAAAACTACAGCTTACATGATGCTTTGTAATTTCGAAGACAAAGCATCATGGGCGTTGTATTTCTACAACATCTGGGGATCTAACTTTTGGGCACTCCTTTATTAAAGGAAAGCTCCAGCGTTAAAAAAATAAAAATAAAATAATGTTGGGGTGCTCCGTTTTTATTTTAGATGAGCACCCCCTCTTTCATTAATGAAATAAAACAAACCTACATTTTTTTCCAATGCTGTGGCAGTCTCCTTGACACAACCCAATCCACCCTTGCTGAGATCAATGTGATTAATGGTCTGTTGTCCAATCAAATGCTTCTCGTTGACCTAGTTTCTCATAGACCCACAGTGCATGTGCACCAATTGCCACACTCAATTAAGCCAAAAGCTTCTCTCTGCAACATCTGTTTCCACTTTGACCTACAGTGAAATCCAGTAACTCAGGAAATTCAACATTTTGTCTGATTGACTGATGAGTACGCTAATAAAAGAATTGATTTCTCTTGAAATTGGAACTTTTAGAAAATAAGACATATGGGACCTTCCATTAATCCATAAAGCATTCAGCAAGCTCTTATTTTTGTGGGTTTTCAAGTCTGATAATTGTTTGTGGGCTGCTTCATTTGCAATATTTCCATTTGACTCTTCCAACATGAGCAATCTTCAGACATTGACGGAGAATGTCAAATTATCCTTCCAACATTAAAATTATTGTACATAACAGAGGATACAGAATTATTCAGTAAACCTGGACTTCAATGTAAATATGTTTTACTATATCCATTTTGTATTAAGTTTTTTAATCAATAACAAGACAAGCTTCCTGGCTTAATGCATGACGTTATCTAAATCAAGCCTTGCCATGTTTTTTAATCCTAGGACAGTGAACAAGATATTCTCAAAGACTATAATGTGATTGGCATGGACAAGAGTGAAGAGTTGTCATAACTGTGGGGATGGAGAGGACTAGAGACTGGAATTGGTCAATATAATTAATGTGATGACTGAGTGGCCTGTGGACAGCAAGGTGTGAAAAGTCAGATTATAGCAATAGAGAATGCCCAGGGAAATAGAATTTAGCAAGAACTCCCATGTGCTCTTGGATACAATACCAATTAATTAACCATACGGAGAGGAGTACAGGAGAACCAAACTGGTCTGTAATGTAGCTCTGGAACCAACGTGGGGATTTTTCCTTTTATATTCCTATATGTCTGCCTTCCTTCTAGTTTTAAATGCACAAATGCATTTGCTTTTATACATTAGATACAGTTTCTTATTAAAGAGTCTGGCTAAGGGAGTTTATTTAACTGAAAAGAGCATTTGTCTTAAAAAAAAAACCAAATCCCTTGAGACCTATTGCGCAGAGATATTTAGCATTTTGCAGGATGCTGTGTTCCAACCTGTTCCTCTTAGATGAAAGATTACTGCTCACAAACTGATAAAAAGTTGCAATTTGTTCTGTCCAGATGTTTTATAAGAGAAACAATTTGCAAAAGGATTTGGTGTTTTACAAAATTTCCTTCATTTTTTTTAGGACTTTTTCAAACATGTTAAAGGACAGTGATTTATTTATTTTGGAATCTCTCAGATAGGATAGAACTGGAACGTATTAGGCCACTATTAGTAAAAGACTTAATGTCAACAATATTTAATGTTAATACGTTACAGATGACTAAGTTACATAATCACAAGACCAGATTCTTATTTTAATAAAGTTTGTGGTTATTAATAAAAACTCGATAAGTTTTGAGTTTATATTTTATGCTTTGCCAGCCACCAAATAATTGCAAAAGCTGTGGGCATATCTGTCCCAAATCGGCATAATAATGGTGCCAACTCACAATGAATTTAAAGTGGATTACACTGGTAAGAAATATCACTGGCAGTCGTACAAGTAAAATAATATTCCCTATATTATACCCATTA